CATGAATTCCTAGCGCTAACCCAACCCTAGGCCTCTGGTGGAACTGCCCTGACCCACAGATGCAGACCCTCAGCCTGAGCACTCAGTGTCACCAGGGCTGGGGAGGTGGCAGCTTGCAGGTACGTGGGGTGTTGGAGGGAGGGGTTTCAGCTTTGTGAGGGAAAAGCTTGGATGCCTGGAAGCACCATCTGCTGCCACCTCACATCCCAGAGGAGCCAAGCCTGGGCTGGCACTGCAAGGAAAGCAGGAGGAGAGGGGCATCCAGCCTGTGGGTGCTGCTGCCTCCCAGGAGACACTTCTCTGAGAGCTTTGGCTTTATTTGTAGCTTTTTTTCTGCCACTGATGAACCACAAACTGACCTTGAAACAAAAATACCTGTCCCCTTTAACAGAAACCACAGCTCCCAGTTAGCTGAGCCAGGCTGGTGCTCCTAGCAGCCACAGGCTCTGTGGCAACAGCAGGTCCAGTTTGGACTGGGACAACCAGTAAAGGGAAGGTCCTGCTTACCCACAGTCAGGTCCATGTTGTGCCTCTCGCCCAGCGCTCGCAGCCGGTACAAGCACCCGCTCTGGTAGTAGTACTGGAGGAACTGCACGAAGCCTGTGGGGACAGCATGGACCTGCTCAGCAGGAGCCTGGGCACCAGCCCAGCTCAGCCATGACCCTGCACATGCAGATGGTCTTGGGGTTGAGGGAAAACCCCCGAGGAGCCACCAGCAGCTCCAGCCAGGTCCCCACATGTCACGGGCAGGCAGCACGCTCGGCACCCGAGGGCAGTGGTGGTCCCAGCAGATGTGGCAGCACTTACTCTGGTACATGGAGAAGGAGAGGAACTGGTTCCTGAACATCTGGTACATGAGCCCATCTGGCCTGTGGAGAGATGGTGCTGGCTGAGGGGCATAGAGTAAAGAGGAGATGCAGCCAGCCCTGCCTGCCCCACAGCCCCCCAGCTCCCACCAAACCAGAGGGACACCCCAGCTGAGACACCTCCTGACAGCCCAGGTGGCTGCTTGGGCCTGGTGAGGAACACGTGTAAGTGATTGTTGGACCACAACATCCACAGAGCAGGATGCAGCCATGGGTCAGGGCAGTGAAGGCCCCATCACCTGATCTGGCCACGGCCCTAACCCCCTATGAGATGAGAGGGGTAATAGACTTACCATGTCAGCATGACCCCTGAGAGGAAGGTGGAGACGTAGTGATGGAAAACCCACCAGCCTTTGATTCTGGAAGGCAGACACAGAGAAGGGGTATCAAGTCTCAAGCATGAATCTACACCCAAACAGACACCAGGAGAGCAGAGCCAGCACCAGCCACCCTCCAGCTCCTGTGGGAAGGTGAGGAGCAGGGCTGGTTGTGAAATGGTTGTGCATGGAGCAGGACCCAGCATCTCCAGTCCAGGGGCCCAGGGCCCTTCTGATGGCTGCTCCACCCTCCCTCCCACACCACCCCTGCATGGGGAGTTCCCCCTGCCCTGCTCCTACAGCTCATTCCAGGGCTTGCTACACACCCCGAGTAGGAGGGAGCTGTGTGATGGGTCCCAGCTCCCTGGCCAGGCAGAGATGGACCAGCTGGCTGCACTCCCACCTCCCCAGGCCCAAGGGACTCACTTGGATCCGTTGTTGATCAAGATGCTCTCCCGGATGGTGAGGGTGCAGTAGTACCACACCAGGAGGAAGTTAAAGACAGCATCTGTCACCCTGGGGGCCAAACAAAGCAGGTGTAAAGGTGGCAGCAGAGATACCACCCACGGGGTTGGGGCACAGGCCATGGCTGCAGGTTGACCCCCCCCACCCTGTGGGCAGGGAGACCTGCTTCTGGTCC